CAAACGTACGAAAAAATAAAATTTGATCAGTACGCTGGATTCCACTTTTCATCAGCTTTCCAATGAGGGGTCACAAGCCATAGGGTTGCATTTGAAAAAAACATGTTGAGGGTAGTTTCAGCTACCCCTGAAGGCCTATATTCTTCATAATGCTTGCAAAATATAGGTAAATATATAAAAACGTTGACGTATCTCGGGAATTTTCATAAAAAATATTCACCTCCCTGCTAGCGAATTTATTCCACTTAAGGTCTCCACCCTGTGTGTGAGAACAGTATTCTAAAACTGTATTGCATTCGTTGCAATACGTTTTCCATAAATTTAATTATTTATTCAGTATCCCATTCAATATTGACATAATCGCGATCATCAAACCGATGGTGTCAATGGTGTTATAGTTTCAACAAAAAATGTATTCAATAGGATATTTCCGATCCCACGACGTCTATCCCTTTCGTATACTCACCGAATTTTTCCATTGAATTTTCCCAACCCTGTATAGCTATTATAATTAGTTATTTATGAGACTTTCCTACTAATTGATATATTATTATGCTTCATTCACCTGCCGCATTCAACATGTTTTCCATACAATGTTTTGCTACTTAATTACTAGACAAATCGGAATCCAGTAACCAGAAATCAGATAAACTTCTGTAACTGGTGTCAAAAACCGATTCTATCGAAAAAAAACGAACTAGAAACGAAATAGGTGCCATATAAATCTCACTTTCTGAGACGTTTTCCCTAGACCCTGCCCACCATATGATACAATGTATAATTAAAGTGAATATTTTATGAAAATTATAGAAAGTACAAAATAAATAAATAAATACAAAAAGCTCAAAGTAATTTCCAAATAATGTTCATAAAATGAACAACAATGGTAGATTTCGGAAGAAAAACAACTACTTTCCTGGCTAATGCGACGCATAACATTGAATTACATCCTACCGAAATCTATGCATCGACTCGTATAAACGAATACCGATACAAGTGATTCTTTCCTGAATGCCTATTGATTTTGATATAGTCAGGCCACGCAAGACACCTACAGACCGGTTTCGATCTCATTGACTCTCATCGAGTCTCATCTGTGCAGGGCAATCTCCAGCCAGCAGTCCTAAGACGGCCGACCAAGCGTAGCCTAGCCAAACAAAAATCAAGTATTTCCTTCTCTTCTACTCAGATGGCGTTGCTCTCCTATTGTCTATGGAGGATGCCTCTGAGGGAATATAATGCCGACTTGATTTTTGTTCGGCTAGGCTACGCTTAGTTGGCCGTCTTAGGACTGCTGGCTGGAGACTGCCCTGCACTGATGAGAGTCAAAGAGCTCAAAACCGGTCTGTAGGTGTCTAGCGTGGCCTGGGTGAATCGAAATCAATAAGCATTCAGGAAAGAATCACTTGCATCAGTATTCGTTCATACGAGTCGATACACAGATTTCGGGAGGATGTAATTCAATGTTCTGCGTGGCATTAGCCAGGAAAGTAGTTTTTTCTCCGATTGGCAGCAAATATTGATTTTGCTGACACATATCAATCAGCAAAGTATTACTTTTCCTGCCTAGGCAGCAAAGTGGGTACTTTGCTGCCTAGGCAGCAAAGTGATTATACTCAATGGGAATAAAACATTTGACGTAAACATTTATTAGCAATTATTACATTACACTTTTAACAAGAATTTAAAAAACATATGTTTAGTTGCTATTAACATTGATGGTAAAATTACTACAATTTTGAACGAATATTCCACCTTTTCTTTCCTCAGATATCGTTCTCTCTACATTAATTATATTACCAGTATGATTCGTCTCATAAGTAGTTCCTATATTTGTCAAAACTTTTTCACAAATGCTGATTTTACTGGCCATTGAATCTTCAATGTACCCTTCTGCTATAGTTGAGGATTTCCACCCACCATGTCTTTTCAACATTGTTATGTCACCACCTGCATTCACAAGTAAAGTGGCAGAACTTCTGCAGAGGCAGTGTCCCGTATCTTCCTTAGCATTCGGCAACTTTAAATAGACAGCTATTTCTTGAGGTATTTTACCAAATTTATGGATTCCAACGAATTGCTTTATGGATTTACCTTTTGCGTATTTGAAAAAAAATCTTGTGTCTTTTAATTCAGCAGGCCGAAGAGCTATATATTTTCTAACAACATCCAAATATTCCATTATTACGAAAGACCTCGAAATCTTCGTCTTCGTGTTTAATAGGGATACCAATAGTTTATTGTTCATATCTTCAATATTTTCTAACTTTAAATTCAAAAGTTCGTCGCAGCGACATGCACCCGCAATTCCAAAAATCAATACAACCTAAAAGAATGGATTATAAGTATTTTCACTCCATGGTATAGATATCTTATTCAAAACTTACTTTTGCTAATAAATATCCATCATCTGGTGCATCCAGTATGAAGTTTATAATATCTTGTTTTTCGAAAACTCGGGACTTCTTTGCCTTGTAGCCTTCAGATGACCGTTTTAAATATGCCCGCAACTTCAAGGATTTTCCTATATCTACGCCATTTTTAACATTCATAGTTGCCTTCAACATGGAATATACAGACCAAAGGGTAGAACTCTTCATTGTTTGAGATAATCCAGCAAAATAAGCAAGTAATACATTCTCCGAAAAAGTCTTCGCATTTTTCTCCATGCAAAAATCCATAAATCGTTTATAATTTCCTTCATATTTCATCCGAGACTTCTCCGGCAACAAATTCATCTCTATATTTTTTGCCACCTCCCTTATTTCTGGAGGAGTAAGTACTTCCAGGTCGCTATCACTGTCCATTTCATGTAATAATTTAAATATAATATACCGATATTTTTTCGCACAACTGTTAGAAATTTCATGAATTGTCAAACTATAATTATTATGGACATTTCCATAGCAACCAACCATTCCAACAACTGCGATTTCTATCAAATTTTATTTTGATCAGGAATAATAAAGAGATTGTGGGAATTGTAATAATTTGCAAATACAATATCCTCCTATATCATTAGGAATCGGAGAAAATAACTATTTTCTCCCGAAATCTACCATTGTTGTTTATTTAATGCACATTTTGTGGAAATGACTTTGAGCTTTTTATATTTATTTAACATTTCATTCCACTCTGAGCATTGTGGCTATTCGTAGTTGTACAACATAAATCATCATAACATATAGTATTTTCCCAGTTTCCCATTTTTCATCTGCACAAAATTGGTTCGCCTAATTTGTATACCTATAGTTAGTGATATAAAGGGTAATATTACCGAGGTAATCTTACCGGTAATTTTGGAAATATTACCACAAGATCGGTAACATTGGAAATATTGTTTTTTTTTCTGTGACGGGAAAAAAGTTTGGCATTTCATCTCTGTTGGCAGGTTATAAAATGTCACTTTTCATAAATTCCTTTTTTCCCGTTGAAAAAAGTGAGTATTTTTTCCCCGGATATATATCACAGATATATACACTGTTGATGGCTTTTGTTGTGCTATAGTTCTGAAAAATGAGTCATTCATACCGTCTCCGAGAAAGAACTGCAAGTCCTTTTGTCTTCCTCTCGACTTCGCGGTTACGTATATTACTAAACAACCACTAAATTCGCAATTTTTTGAAATCGAATCACAGAATTAGACTGACAGAAGTGACATCAGATATTTGATTACTTGAAAAGAATGATAAAGATGCCTACAACGCAGGTGTCCCTACTGTTAAAAACTTAAAATTTCACGTCGGTAATTTTCAGATTTCAGAATAATGTAATATCTTCTTAATATTGATTCGTCCTTTCTTCTGTCACAGAAAAAAATAGTGTATTATACACGGGAAAAATATTAGATTTTAGCTCACGGTTTTTTGGAGCTAAAATCTACTACTTTTTTCCCTTTGAATTCGTCATTTCCAGCGACAAATCTATGTCTGGGCCTGTTTGGTGGGCATGAATTTGCTCCAGTTCTAAAATAAGTAGATTGGCTGTAGACATTTTGAATTTACCATCGTCAACAGCCACAACTGAAAGAACCTTTAGTACTTATGGATTTATTCATCGGCAAAGAAGAAACAGACTTACCGTGGAATGGGCCGGAAAACTAACTTATATTGCCCATAATTATAATTCACTAAATGAAGAAGATCATTCTATCATTCAAGAATAGTAGAAGCTACTGAGGAAGAAATAGAAGAAAAAAATATCGGTTATAGACTTGACTCAATCAACGAAAGAGAAAGAAAAATCAGATGACGAGGTTGGGGATGATGATGAGGATGATTTACCATTATCCACTCTATTACGTAGTCCACTCTGACTAGTTTGAAAAGACATTCTTGTTGTTTTTCCTAATGTTTTTACAGTTTTGAAATAAAAAAAACTTGTATTACTTAACCCTTCAGTACTATGCCGTCTGAGAGACTGAGCCCCCACTATTCTCCCCATATTATTGCGCAGCGCAATTCGATTCGGTTGGGCGGCTAGCTATCTCAATTTCATCCAGTTACGGAGCAATTGCCTTAGTGGAAAGTAGTAATAGCATTTTTAGTAACAGACCTACCAGACTCCAGTGAGGAAGATTATGTTGAGAAGCGCTGAGGAGATTCCGAGTTGGATCAAGAGTTAGAACCAGAGTCAGTAGATCTCGAAAAGAGGTCTGAATTGGAACCAAACTTAGAACACGCATTACTGCAAATCGAGGCCATATTTTTAACCAAAACGCGAAGTATAGCCTGTTTTCACTGGTGACGACAACTTTGGTAACTCCGAAGAAGTTTTAGCCTAATTGTTTATTCTCTTTATAAATAGTGTGAAATGATAATGAAAAGAGTACTAACATAATGCATTTTTATGAATAAAATTTATGTTATTGAAATCATGTTAGTACTGGAGGGTTAAAAAAGCTGTTACCGTAATATTACGTAATATTACCGATTTTTAAATTACCGGCAATTTTACATCCTTACCTATAGTACATATTGAACAAAAATTGATACATTATCTTGTTTGTTTGCAGATACCCAAATGAAGCAAATTACAGAAAGAGTCCATCATAGTACAGAAAACATTCAGAATGATCCCAGCTACCTAAAGTCGAAACGAAAAATATAAGTCTCCAAGATGACGTTTTCCAGCAGAATATGCAGAAGGATTACTCCCAAGGGCTTCGCCATAACTGCTGTGGGACTCACCATCGTCCTCTGTGTGTATTACACGAACTACGTGTCTGATGTCAACCAGAGGGGTAACCAATCTCAGAGAAACGACATTCTGGATGTGGGCCAGTCACGCAGGCACTTTCGCAGCAGTTTCAGAGAACAGGCGGCCAGATTGGTTATGGAAAAAAAGGATCTGGAAATTTGCCCGAAATTGACGGCCGCCGAGGCTGATGTCAATACCAATGATGTGTTCAAGGATTTTGAGTTCCAAGTGAGTTTTTTTATAGTATCAGAAGTATCAAGAATGGTAAGGACTGAGTCCGTAAGACGAGTAATTTCTTCTGGCAGTTTTTTGAGTTGAATTACCTAATGGCAATACAATTCAAATTATAAATGCCAAGTTTACTTCGACTAAAAAAAAAAAGCTGGAGTGTAATTCGGTAAGACAATTCAATGCATCAAACATTTGTTTATGGCTGGTTGTCATGTTTTCAAAAGTTAGGTTCCGTTATTGTCGCTGGAAAAGATAGGGCAAACTTTTTTCGCTGTCATAATGACAAAATCACGCGGCTTGTGGGATTTTTCATACATGAATTGAATGGTCAATAAAAAAATCACACAAAATTGGTTGTATAACATTCCTGCCTATTAAAACAAATAACTATTTTCTCCAAGCGGCAGGAAAAGTGGCTTTTCTCTGAACTTGACAGACAGGAATGGTGTACTTTCTATGCCTAGGCAGGAAAAGTTTGTTGCTATGCAATGTTTTAAAAAAATTCAAGGACATTGGTAATCAAAATTGACACTGACATTGGGTGAACAAACAATAATGGAGTTTTCAATAGAAAAATTACACACAATTGGTTTTTCGGCAACCGTCCGGGTGCTCACTTGTTCATTCCTAGCGAAAACATACGATAACCAAATCATGTTGCCATTCACACGCCCTAAATGGTACGATTCGATAAACAACCTGTATACTCCCATTAGTCTGATTGGGATATGTTTATAATAATTATGGTCTCTATCTCGTTTATTCGAAAATAATATACCTACATAATTTCGCACGTTCCCCTTCTTGGCACGTACTTTTGTCTCTTTACAGCAACTAACATTTCAAAATAGTTTCTAACAAATCGAAATAATTTCATCATTTACCTATTCCGAAGTTAGGCAATCTAGTAGTTTTTATGACAAGTATTTCATTTGCATGTCGATATTTTCGAGAGCTTTTGACAATACCATTTTTTTATTGTCGAGCTTCACAGTTACAGAATGGTTATAAGAATATATCTAATACATTCAGGAGATCAGCAGTTCGAATAGTAACAATATGCCGTCCTTCAAAAGCAGGTTTCTGCAACCAATAGTTGTTTTTCTGCAATGATGACAATAGTTATTTTTGTTTCTAGAGCGCGAAATGCTACTTTGGTGATCGAGATCTGATCTTGTTAACGAGACGTAGCCGAGTTAAAAAAGTAGTCGAGATGACCAAATAAGTATTTCGCGCTCGAGTTGCAATAGTTATTTATTATGCAAGGGAACAAAGTAGTAGATTTTAGCTCCAGGTTGTGTTGTCTACCGACGCGTAGCGGAGGGAGACAAAAAACCGTGAGCTAACATCTTATATTTTTCCCGTGTAGAATACACTATTTTTTTCTGTGACAGAAGAAGGGACGAATCAATATTGAGGAGATATTATATTATTTTGAAATCTGAAAACTATCGACGTGATATTTTAAGTTCTTAAAAGTAGGGACACCTGCGTTGTAGGCATCTTAATCATTCTTTTGAAGTTATCAAATATCTGATGTCACTTCTGTCAGTCAAATTCTGTGATTTGATTTCAAAAAATTGCGAATTTAGTGGTTGTTTAGCAATATACGTAACCGCGAAGTCGAATGGAAGATAAAAGGACTTGCAGTTCTTTCTCGGAGACACATTTTTCGTAACTATAGCACAACAAAAGCCATCAACAGTGTATATACCGGGTGGCTACGGAAGTATTGCCTACGGAATATCTCAGTTATTGTATGAAGTAGGTTTGTGAAATTTGGAGCGTTGATATAATGACATAAGAGGTAGAATCTGAGTATATTGACATGTCGAAGTTAACTCTCGGTCTGACCGGAAGTAACATCAACTTACCTATTTTAAATGGAAACCCTAGTTTTTTTTCTCCTCGCTTTATTCAGCATTCGATTCCTTTTTTAATGACACATCACAAGTTGGTATCTAACCAGAAACTAGATCAGAAAAAAATTATTATTGAAATTCACCGAGTAGGCCATGGAAGCAAAAAATTACTTTCTATTATATCATTAGAATGGAATATTTATGCTGAATAGTACAGGCAAGAAAAAATTGTATGTTCCTATTTAAGTTATGGAACTACAGAGTATTGTTTTTTCCCAATTTTTCCGATATTTTTTTAGGCGGCTTTTTATAACGCCGACGAATGAAAATAAAATATCACAGTAGTAGCAACTGCTATCGAGTGACGTATGGTTTCCATAGCCAACTTTTAAATTATTTGCTTTCAATTTGCTTCCACGGCCTACTCGGTGAATTTCAATAATAATTTTTTTCTGATCTAGTTTCTGGTTAGATACCAACTTGTGATATGTCATTAGAAAGGGAATTGAATGCTGAATGAAGCGAAAGAAAAACAAAATAGGGTTTCCATTTAAAATAAGAAAGTTGATGTTACTTCCGGTCAGACCGGAAGTTAACTTCGACATGTCAATATGCTCAAATTCTAGCTCTTATGTCATTATATCGACGCTCCAAATTTCACAAACCAACTTCATACAATAACTGAGATATTCCGTAGGCAATACTTCCGTAGCCACCCGGTATATGTGATATATATCCAGGAAAAAGTACTCACTTTTTTCCCACGAGAAAAAAGTGATTTATGAAAAGTGACATTTTATAACCTGCCAACAGAGGTGAAATGCCAAACTTTTTTTCCGTCACAGAAAAAACAACATTTTTTCTACAAACGTCAACAAATAATAATAGCTTGTTATAAAAAATAGTGTTGAACTGGCTTAAAAGGCCTCCCCCTATCCTCCCTAGGTACGCACGATGTTCCATGAACATAATAGGAATTTCCTTTCGTCCGCTCCAAGAGATAAAACAAAGTTATTGTTGAACATTCAGAAATAAATGATTTCGTGGGTGTTACATAACAATGCGCGAAGTAGGTACTTCGCGCACTGTTTTGTGCAAGGTATCATGGTAACGTAGGAAACTGAAAAAAAGTGTAACTTCGCAATTTGTTATCAATGCGCGAACCTTGTCATTTTTTGAAGTTTGTAGAAAAAGTACTGAATTGGTATGGATTATTTTGGAACTAATTTATTTTGAAACCAAATTAATCATTTGGTCTAGTGTTTTATAGTATTAGTATATTATGTACTTCGTTGGTATGTATGTACATTGTACATACCAAGTGGCCATCGAACTCACGCGTGGTTTTTCAGCCATGTGTGTTGTGTGTAAGCTTTGTTACTAACTCCATACGCCACCTTAGGAGCAGCACTTTAATTGGAACGCAACAGCGAATCGTGCGGAATCATCTCCGACCGAGTCTATGAAAATTAGAATTTATAACTCATTTTATAAGTAAATTATAAATAAAAATTGTCTGCTCTGCGGGGGATTCAAACCCCGATGTTCTGATTACTAGTCGAGTGCTTCGCACCAACTGCAGTATCCCGCCTTCTAGAGTTTTGTATGTTTCAAAATATTTTTTCAGCCTTCTTGGATGAAAAGCAAAGAATACTGGGACAAAGTCTTCGAGGATCGCTATGAACGACAGAAAATGGACCCAGAAAAACCACACTTGAAGGTAAGTCCCATGAACAATTTTGTCTCGCTAATCTACCCTCATTTCAATATATTCACCATAATCAGGTATAGAATATACCGGGTGGCTACGGAAGTATTGCCTACGGAATATCTCAGTTATTGTATGAAGTAGGTTTGTGAAATTTGGAGCGTCGATATAATGACATAAGAGCTAGAATTTGAGCATATTGACATGTCGAAGTTAACCTCCGGTCTGACCGGAAGTAACATCAACTTTCTTATTTTAAATGGAAACCCTATTTTTTTTTTTTCGCTTTATTCAGCATTCAATTCCCTTTCTAATGACGTATCACAAGTTGGTATCTAACCAGAAACTAGATCAGAAAAAAATTATGCATATGGCGATAATCTGTTTTGTTATTTGAAGAATAATAGTTGGATTTTTTTGTATTTCATTTCAAAAAATTACTTTCTATTATATCATTAGAAAGGAATGGTTATGCTGAATAGTACAGGCAAGAAAAAGTTGTATGTTCCTATTTAAGTTATGGACCTACAGAGTATTGTTTTTTCCCCAATTTTTCCAATATTTTTGGCGGCTTTTTATAACGCCGACGAATGAAAATAAAATATCACAGTAGTAGCAACTGTAATCAAGTGACGTATGGTTTCCATAGCCAACTTTTCAATTTTTGGCTTTCATTTTGCTTCCACGGCCTACTCGGTGAATTTCAATAATAATTTTTTTCTGATCTAGTTTCTGGTTAGATACCAACTTGTGATATGTCATTAGAAAGAGAATTGAATGCTGAATAAAGCGAAAAGAAAAAAAAATAGGGTTTCCATTTAAAATAAGAAAGTTGCTGTTACTTCCGGTCAGACCGGAAGTTAACTTCGACATGTCAATATGCTCAAATTCTAGCTCTTATGTCATTATATCGACGCTCCAGATTTCACAAACCTACTTCATACAATAACTGAGATATTCCGTAGGCAATACTTCCGTAGCCACCCGGTATACAGGGTATTCAGAGTACACTTTGATGGTTCCAAATTATTCCCCATCGATACGTGTCTGTCTACCGTCTTTTCAAACTGAGATTCAGGACGTTATCTTTATTTTGGCAAAATCTTCATCTTGTCATAATTTTTTAACCACTTTGTATAATCTATTTACAGAGGGGGAGGGGGGAGAGGGAGAGGGAGAGGGGGAAGGGTTTAGGGGGAGGAAGAGAGAGAGAGAGAGAGATATTATTTTTCGATTTGAATTTTCAGTGTGAATTCATGTATTATAATACTTTGTTGACCGAACTTTACCAATCCATAACAGTTTGTTAGAGCAAAAAGACTCAGTTGTTTATTGTTCTTATTTGAATAACCATAATTAGTTTGACAGGTTAATTAATTTAACAAACGAGAGAGACACAACAAGCAGCTATACCTGCAGCTTCCAATTTTTCATCTGACTTTCAATAGTTTGTACAGGACGGCAAGGCAAGGACGGATCTAGTAGAGTGCATATATTATTAGATATTTGTACTCACAACTTGATTTCTTTTGAAAGTAATTAGATTCGACAGCCGATAATCCACCATGATATACAGGGTTTTCCAAATTAAGTGTCCAACGTAGGTAACTTTATCCTCTCTGACTTTATTTCCTTTGATGCTAAATCATCTCAAGGAAACTAATACAGATCGGCTATACAAAATATCTTTGTTACCTGAATTTTACAGCTATCGTATTCGCCACGCTGTATAAGTGTAACAAATTGACCTATTGATCTTCGCAAGCGGTGGAAATGGAACATAAAATTCGTCGAAGATGAGTACATGCCAAATGGAAGCCTATTCAATGTCCGCATTCTCCATGTGATGAAAATATCAATTCTTCCACGGTTTATTCAACAGAAAACAACTACTTTCCTGGCTATATGCCACGACGAATATTGAATTACATCTATATTGAATACACATGATGAGAATTTGAAAACAAAATCTTCTGAAGTAGTGAATTTGCATTCTCCTTCATATATAGATATGCATACAATATAATTCTGAATATTCAACAGGAAACAACTACTTTCCTGGCTATTTGCCACGTCGAACATTGAATTATATCTGTTGAATATCCAAAAAGAGAGCATGAAAGATCAAAATCCTCTGAAATTGAGAATTAACATCATCTCTCAAATCGAATAGGAATAATATGATGGATTATGATATAAAAACATAATTTCTGTATGATGAATGTCAATTTATCATACATTTGAAAAATAGGTAGTTATACTTTCAAGATAACGATATTGATCCATTAATGGTTGGAAAAAGTGTATCATAAATATATGTCGTATGATATTGAAAACATACCTAATCGCAGTCTCTAAAGCAAATAGACCATTTATTTTTTAACGATCATTCATTTTACAGGGTGACATCGTAGTTGACGCTGAAATATTTTCTTTGTCTCTTTTCACTTAAGTATAGAAAATCTGACATTCGTATTTCATATCTGGCAAGTAAGGTGATAGTCATAGTAAAAAAGTTGGATTCTCCATAAGTGAAAGGCGGCACATGGAATAGTATATCGGAATGATAATCAATTCCCACGAGAATGAAGTTTGCAGCATAAGCCGTAGATAACAGCGATTTTTTTTATTTCTTCGGCATGTAGCCATCTGATTTGCTCTTCAGTAAGACTTCTCTATCAAAGCTGTCATCGCTTGAAATTTGACATTCCATGGGAGATGAGATTTTATGAAATAATAACACAATGAAGTCATTGTGATATCAGATACGAAAATAAAATAGATGTCATACAAAGTACCTCATTGATTTAATGATTTATCGAACCCAGTAAAACAAGAGCAATTTTGTGTTATAGCCGTAGAAAAAGAATGTTTCAACAGCCATTATGATGTTTTTTATAAATAATCTACGATTCATTAAATCTAAAATACCATTTAACGTTGGGTTAGCCCTACGTTGGGTAAGGTTAGGTAAAGTCTACGTTGGGTAAGCTCTACGTTGGGTTAGCTCTACGTAAGGTTAGCTTCACGTTGGGCTAGCTGTACGTTGGGTTATGTTAGGTTAGATCTACGTTGGGTTAGGTCTACGTCGGGTTAGCTCTACGTTGGGTTCAGCTCTACGTTATGAAAGGTAAGGTTAGGTCTGAGTTGGGATACCTTAACGTTTGGTTAGGTTAGGTCTACGTTGGGTCAGCCTCATAAAAAAACGTCTAAAAGTGTAAAATCTGGGGAGCTGGCTGGCCATTCCGTAGGACCTCGACGGCTAATCCAACGACCGGAAAAAGTATTATCCAAATGTTTTTAACTTCTGGAGTAATGTGGTGGTGCTCCATCTTGTTGGAATACCATATCCATATTGATGTGTTTGTATTCCGGCAACTAATAAATGTTCCGTTATTTTGTAGAAGGTGAAGATATTGACGTCATATTCTAGGGTTACAAAGTATTCCCCCCTTACCATTAATTTTTTCTTCAGATGGCGCCCAGTCGCCATCTTGAAATTTTCATCTATCAATTTTACTTCAAAATATGGTATTTATGCATTAATTTCATAATCCCAAGTTCCAATTTTTTCAATTGACCTGTTAAAAAAATAACAGGGGGCATAGAAAAGCACTGTATTATATAGAAGACATGTCTTTCCTTTGCCTACTTGATAAACTACTGATATTTTGATAAATTATACGATCGAAAACTGACACTGAAGATAGCAGAATTTCAGTCAACTACTGATTAAATAAGATTCGAGACCATTTAAAAATTTTCCATCGTTCACGCCAGCTATTATTGAAAACAATTACCCAACGTATTGATATACAATGCAATAATTGTTATCGAGAGTTATAGTCTGACTTAACAATTGAAAAGTGGGCCCACCAACAGTTATAAAAAATCTCAGTAAAATCTATCAATGTAGTGGTAGTGCTGTAAATTGGATGGGCACTTTTGAATCTTTCTTTTCTTTATTCATGAATCCCAAGAAACAGTGTATGTTTATACAGGGATATGATATAACATAGAATTGAATATTTTATATGATATATAATATATTATTTGTTATTATTAATATATAAACTCTAAATAATTTGAATGATAACAAAATAAAAGCATCAAAAATATACATAATAATCATCTCAAATTTACAGAAAATGGAGTTTCAGCCGTCTTTTGAATTTGTATTATATTATTCAACTTCTTTATCGAATCAGGGAGATAATTATATATAATTACACCAACATAAAATATTGATTTTTTTCCATATTAGTTTTGATGATATGATAGTCGAGAGTCCATTATGACTTCGGGTACTTTGATTATGAATACTACTGATTTGGGTGAATATTATGTTTGAATGTTTATATCGATTTTTCACTAAATGAATAAATGTACATATTTTCATTTTATAAATAGACTCAATACCTTTTTGTTTTTTTTGTTTTTTGTTTTTTTTATCGCTTGGAGCGCACGAAAGTGAATCCCTATAATGTTCAAAGAACATCGTGCGTTCCTTGGGAGGATAGGGATAGGAGGTAGGTATTGGAATTTTTTTGAACTTCTGAAGATTATATGTTGGTGGGAATACTTCCTCAGGCAATGAATTCCAGAGCCTAGCCGTTCTATGGATGAAGGAGTTTTGATAAAGTGCTGTTCGACATCTTTCGAGGTTGACAACTAAAGGAGGTGCTGACTGGGCTTCTCTAGTTCGTCTGACTGGTATTGCCAGTGAAGGGATAATAGCAGAGATTTTCGAAGAACGTTTCCCGTGGAAGTATCGATAGAAAAGTGAAACGTCGCCGACCTTTCTACGGTGTTCCAATGATGTCAAAGAGTGAGTGAGTGTGGCGTCACCCACCAGGCGAATGGCTCTTCTTTGGATATAATCTAAGAGCATCAGCGGATGTTTTGGTGCTGAACCCCATATGTGGGAACAGTATTCTAGAAACGGCCTGTTCTGCGCTTTGTAGATCATGAGGAGCTGTTGAGGTGTAAAGTAGCTTTTTGCACGGAACAAGAATCCGAATTTTTGTGAAGCAGCTTTTGCGATGGATCTGACATGATTATCCCATGAAAGAGTGTTGCTGATGGAAATACCGAGCAAAGATATGATGGACTTGGTGGGGATGGTGGTGCCAGACATAAAAATGTCGGGCATACTGAGAAAATACAGGCTTGAGTTTTGGTGGTGTTGAATTCAACTAGGTTGTTGGTTCCCCAGGCTGTGATTTCAGCAAGGTCTTCATTGCCAGCATTGACCTGCCTGCGCCGTGAGTTCTTAGTTTCCTGGGAAGAAATGGGAATTCTGGAAGAGAACGCAGTATGGAGGGTACTATCATCGACAAAGCTGTGGATGGGGCAAGTTGTTATTCCCAACAGATCATTGATATAAAGAAGGAATAATGTTGGTGCCAAAATTGATCCTTGTGGAACGCCGGAATTGATGCCAATTGTATCAGACGATACACCGTCCACCACCACATGAAGCGATCTGCTTGAAAGAAAACTCGATAAGAGATGGCATAGCTGAGGTGGTAAGCTGTATGATGGTAGTTTGTGGAGGAGTCCTTCGTGCCAAACACGGTCAAATACTTTCGATATGTCCAACGCGACAGCTAGAGATTCCCCGTATTTTTCTAATGAAGCTTGCCATAAATGGGTGACGTAGGCAAGTAGATCTCCAGTAGATCTTCGGTGGCGAAAGCCATATTGTCTATCATTGATGATTCCCGAGCTCTCCAGATATTTGATAAGCTCAATATTGATGGCTTTCTTCATCACTTTGGAGATTACCTACTGATAACAGGGCAATGGGCCTGTAGTTGTTGGGCAGGTTCTTGTTCCCTTTTTTGGGGATTGCTTGGACTCTAGCTGTCTTCCAGCATGATGGAAAAATATCCGACCTGTACGAGACGGTAAACAACTTGCAGAGAATCGGTGCTAATTCTGGTGCACATTTTTTGAGGATAATGGGTGGAATTCCATCAGGACCGATAGCCTTATTCGTTTTGAGACCAAGCAAAATTCGTCTGATAGTGAGTGATGGAAGTCGATTTCGGCCATTCGACTCTTAACGGGTGGAATGTCTGGCGGCCTTGAGAATCTGAAGTAGAGTTTGCTGCGAACATCTCTGCAAAAATATTTGCTTTCTCCTGCGATGTTGCTGCTAATGTGCCGTCGAATTTGGACAGTGGTGGAAATCAACTATTAGTGAAATTTCTTCCGACCGCTTTAGCAAGGGACCAAAACGAACGAGAGCCATTGGGACAATCTATGAGTTTCGATATTATCTTGGCATTTTATGTTTCTTTCGATGCATCTATTGTTTGGCTGCTGTTATTTCTGGCATCAACATATTCTGCTCTAGTCGCGAGGTAAGGGGTTTTTGCGCCAGAGATGGTAGGCTGTTTGTTTCAAGGCAACAGTTCTAGAACAGTTTTTGTTGAACCAGGGTTTCGATGGTGATGATCTATTCGAAGAATGAGGTATATATGTGTCCATTCCGAGCATGATGATCTCGGATATTTCCGCAGCACACTGTGAATAAGGGTCCTCAGAGTCAGAGCATACTCTATGCCAAGGAAACTCGGAGAAAAACATGCTCAATGCTCAATATCAAAAATATTTCTGGGTTTGTAGAGATTCGTAGTTCGCTCCAAAAAAAGGTAGAATGAATATACATTTTATTGCTTCATTTTGTAAAATTTGTAGTAAAGGTTACAGATTTGCTGAACCAGAATCAGAAATTGTATTGTATCGTAGAATAAATGAGGCAATGATATATATTCATTAGATACTTCCTAGGAATATGATTCCAAATTCTATATAATATTCCAATGATTGGCCTCATTTTATTACGTAATTTCTCAATATATTCGTACCATGAAAGTGTTCCATCAATGAACAATCCTAAAAATTTCGAAAATTTGGTATAATTGATTTCATTAACACCAACTTTTACTGGATCGATTTGTCCCGCAGGTTTCTTCCTTTTTGTTATATACATGAATGAATATTTTTTGTAATTTAATTATAATTCATGTGTTAGTAGCCACTGGCATATTATCTCTTCAAATCATCATCACTGTGAATTTGTTCAGTGTTTGAAGCAGGATAAAATATTGTTGTATCATCAGTCAATTTCATCGAACCTTTCACGTGTTCAAATTCACTCATAGAATTGATATATACAAGGAATAAAATTGGTCCTTAAATCGATCCCTGCGGAACATCACAATTGATATTTTTAGTCAAACTTGTAATATCATTAATCACGGCCTTCAAGATAGTTTCTGAAACAAGAATATGTGTTACCTCTGATATCCAAATTAGACAACTCATGATTGAAACTGATATTGAGTGTAACATTTCTAGGTTATCATCGTCCCTCATTCGCACAACGACCCTGGCTGGCTGAAGACATTCGAACATTACTTCCACTACTCCTCCAGGCAGATCATGAACAACATGGTGGCGAAGTTGCAGCAGTACAAAAATCTCACTTTCATCTGGTCAGAAGTGTCGTTCCTGAATGCTTGGTGGGAGGAAGCTCACCCCAGCAAACAAAGGGCTCTGAGGGACTTGGTGCAGTCTGGAAGGCTGGAGATAACTACCGGTGGCTGGGTGATGACAGACGAGGCAAACGTACACTTGTATGCAATGGTTGATCAGCTGATTGAAGGTTAGTATGTGCAATGGGAGTAATGATTCGAGATATGAACTAAATATACAGGGTGAGTCATGAGGAACTGTACATACTCCTACCACGAATAGAGGCCTTTGAGGGGAATGTCTATGTATGTATGTATGTGTGTGTGGGCGGTCCGGGACCTGACGCACTTAGGCCTCCCTTTTCGGGCCCATTGTGCACCCACATTCCTGGGATCGCAAGTCAGCCATGGAGAAGGCTGATCTCGCGAGCAAAAGAGACCAACTTTCTAGGCCAAATCTTTTTAACATCCTCTGGGTCCAGGATACTGCTCCCAAAATGGATATCCCTTGCTGCCACTACTGCCGGGCATTCAGTGAGGATGTGTCTAATGACCATCAAAAACTGTCTTCTTCTCTTCTTCAGAAATAGATAGAGTGAATTATGAGATTTTGGGTAGGTATAACTTTTCGTCAGGTCCTTCGATTTGTTTAATTTTTTCACGGAATATTCCTCTACTAAACCCTAATCGACTGACAAAAATAAAATATTCAAAATTCTCCTCACACTTTCACTGAATTTTTCAAAAAACTATAAATTTTAAGCAAAAACGAAATTTTGACAACAAATTTATTCATTCGAAAATAATTACTTGGCAACGCACAAATTTCACAAATAAATGTAAGACTCACATTTTCAATGCTTTAGCCCAACGGAAATCAACAAGTTCTTCCATTTCCAGGCCTGGATTTCGTCATTTCATTTTTTGTAGAGGGTAATAATCACCCTGTAGATCTTTTTCGAATCAGTGGATGGGGTATCTGTTCAGATGTTAATGGTCATCGATTCAAATAATTCAAGATAGTCGAACAGGGGCCCTAGTATTGCATCATCATTTTCTCATATAATTTGTTTGTATAAATATAATATTCACAAAAATAAATCCGAGCAATACTTATTTTATATAGAGGCAGCGGCAACATTGCAAGTTGATCAAAATTGTTGAAAATTATATACAGGGTCTCACCGATTTCATAGGGACGGTATTGCTTTACTAAACGGAAAAATATAGAAAATTGGTCAAATTAGACAAAAGTCGCTAGTTTAAACGTCATCAATACCAATGCCATTTTGCAAACTGAAAAAAATCAGCCGTTTTGTTGTCCCCAAATATTAGCTGAATAAGAACAGAATCAATCATTTTCAGTTTTTTCGAAATATTTAAGGAACGGCTGGAATTTTTCGAGTTTGCAAAACGGCATATTGAAAAAGTTTAAATTACGCAACTTTTGTCTAATTTCATCAACTGTCTATCTCCTCTACTGTTTAGGAGACAGGGAGACACCTAGCAATACTGTCCCTATGAAATCGACGGGTCCCTGTACAGGAAAGGAATGATGAACAGTACAATAGGAATGATGAACAGTACAATAGGAATGATGAACGGAGGTATTTTTCAATTAGTGCTTTGACATTTTTTCCACACCACCAGTGACCAGTTTCGAAGCAGAGCACTCATTTTCAAAATTAACAATCATTAAAATCAAATAAAGAACTGTATTGCTGAAGAAAATATTACCACCTTTGGGAATTCTTTCGATCGAAAGTAATTTGAGGAACAGTTTGAAAATTATGATGGTGCAATGAAATGATTCGCAGATTTGAAAACCAGAAATCAGGAATCGTAATATGTTTCTCCTAGTAATTTCGTTATTGTTTAGAACCTGTATGAACTCGAAAACATTTTATTTTATGGGTATCTGATCCTAGTCAGTGTTATAGTTACGGTTATTATATTTCATGTCGTTCTATTCTTTTATTTGTTTTTGTTTTGTTTCCTATATCCTAAAGATTGAAGATACTATATTTTTATCAATGAATGTCTTTTTTTGCTTTTTTATGTCCTTTATATTTTCATCATCAAATGTTTAGTTTTGTTTTCATTTGTATTCGGGAAGAAAATATTACATGGTATTATTGATAAAAAAACAGAAGGTATTGAGTATTGATTGAAAAAAACAGGAGAAGGAATGGGGGTAGGGGCCACAGGGGCCTCAAGAATTAGTAAGCTTAGGGCCCCAGAAATCGTAGATCCGCCACTGAACTAAACTATCAAAATGTTTCAAGAACGGTCCTGGATTTTTCCGATTCTGAATAAGTCAGTCGATTAGAGAGTAGTAGCGGAATATTCCATGAAAAAATCAGACGAATCGAAGAAGCTGTTCGAAAGTTATGACCAAAAGATGTTTTTGCCAAATCTTATGATTCACCCTATATATTGGAAAAGAAGTGAAGAAGAATTTTTCTGATGGACATCTGGTAATACACTCAGGGGCCTCTATTCGTGGTAGGAGTATGTACAGTTCCTCATGACTCACCCTGTATATTCTGGTGACTGACATGACTTTACTATCTAGACCAGTAATGTTTACCCTAGTAATGTATATATCTTTCACACCTTCAGAAAGTAGAGATTTCAACGAACAAAAACCTCACCGACTATTTTGGATATTATACAGGGTCGCTGATATGTATGGAAACAGGTGAATATCTCGGCAATCTGTTGTTAGATTTTTTTGAATTCATGTACAGTGTGATTTCAAAACGTGGCGGATTTGAAAATGTTATAGCCAATGTTGCCACTTTTTCAGTTATACCGGATTTTTTATTAACTTCCTTATTTTGAATAGAACACCCTGTAATTTATTGGATTTTCAGATTCTCCCTGAAGAGCTAATTCCATCGATCTATCACACTTGGGCTCTAGCAGGAATGAATACATAGGTATAGGGTGTTTAGAATCTAGATTTTTCAACTTTAGTATTTTTTTGTGTCGAAACTATTCATTATCGATCAAAACCGCTTCAATGTTCCCATCTTTACTTCTGATTCACTATCTACTGACATTTAATTGAAACAAATACAGGGTGGTTCAAGATTCAGAAGTCTGATCACCCTCTGTATCTGTTCCAATTAAATAGTCAGTAGATGGTAAATCAAAAGTGAAGATAGGAACATTGAAGCGGTTTTGATCGATAATGGATAGTTTCTACACAAAAAAATCTTGAAGTTGAAAAACCTAGATTTTAAACACCCTATACCTATGTAATCATTCCCGCTCGACCCCGAGTGTGATAGATCGATGGAATCAGCTCTTCAAGGAGAATCTGGAAATCCAATAAAGTACAGGGTGTTTCATCCAAAATAAGGAAGTTACTAAAAATCCGAAATAACTGAAAAAGTGGCAACAGAGCAGGGCCTACTGTATCTCACCGGGCCGTAGTCTATCCCCTCTCTCTCGACGCTGACGTCACACTAGTAGGTTGAGATTTCACATCAGTCCGTAATGATGCGTTGGTAATTGATAGGCTATAGCTCATTTACTATAAATTTTAGAAGCATACTCAATCGAGACGAAATGATCCCCAACAAATTCCTCAACTTTTGGTGAAAAAATGAATCCAATAGGATGAATCAATACCGAGTTATGGCGTTGTAACGAAATTCCATTTTATTGAAAATCAGGACGTTGTACTACAGAATACTATTTTTTGCAAATTTGGAATTGGAATAAGATGAAACTAACTCAATATATCAAACTACGATAATGAATCAATTGAATAGTGAAAAAATTGCAGAGTTACCTACAATGAGTCCGAAAGAAATTAAATATAAAGAGCGCGTAAAAAATGGGCCGTTATACCTACCTACCCAAATTTCGCTGTATTACGATTTCGCGGTATAATTCCTTGGACTGGTAAAGGGCGATATACTTTTTATTTTATTTCATTTCTAAATGGCGTATGGTTCAGACCAACTAATATTGGTGTCTGAAAAATTCGAAACAATATTTCTACAATGTAAGTCACAACATAAAGTTTTGAAGAATTTAGCAGAAATTAAAATTCCCTTCTCAATTATTCCGAGAATCGATGTTGCAGTCGTGGGTCTTTTGATTTAATCAGCAGAACATTCTCTAAAACCATTTCAAATATTCCGTTGAACAATTATTGCGAAATAAAAAAAAAACTAAAAAAGAAAAATCACTTAACTTTCAAGATGAGATATATTTCAGATTTCAATATTCAGTTTGTGATTAAGATGATGTATATATATTTTTTGTTATTAGTGTATTTCATTTTGTGATATCTATAATTTTTTTTATTTTGTTATGTTGATCATTTATACAGTTTATTTTGTTTGGTTTTGTGTGTGTATAAGGATTCAACGTTTTTTTTTTTGCTTATTCATTCATATATTGTTGTTCTGGGTATTTTGTTATTCAATTCGTTATATTCATCTTTATATCTCTCATTGTTGAGATACATATTTTTTCAATTATTTTTGTTAGGTTGTGTTCATATGAACTCCACATATTTTGTTCTTTTTAATTTTGATAGTTTCCAAATATATTCAAATCAAATTTTTTTCATGAATTTAACGTTATCATTAAAATATATACTCTTCAGCAGAAAATAATTGATACCGAATAGGCGTTTTTGTGTAATAACACACTCGAGTGATAGGATTTCGAACGTCATCAAAGTGCGTCCTGATCATCTCTAGAGATAAACGCTGCTAAAACCCTTCGAGATAAAGTGGATGTGTTTCATACCGATTTGTAGGCAATCAAATTTCCTACAAAAAAGTCAGTGACAGCATATATCCACAGTTGATAGGATTAGCATGGGAGGCGTCCGAACTTATTGAACTATTCTGTAATGAACACCTGAATCATCGTTCTACTTGAATTGAAATATCGGTTTGTTGTTGGCCTTGGGAATTTCACAAAAAAATTCAGTCAATCTAGATACTATGCGAAATCTTTTCATGGTTGAATCATTTCTGTAAATTGAATATTGGAATTTTGGTAGCTGTTTGAAAAAGGACAATTCTGAATGGCGTCAATTAATTATGATATGCCATATTTCTGAAATTAATGATCGTAAATCAGTGGAATTTGATTCATCTTCTGGAAAATTCTTTTCTGTACATATTTGACCTCTTGATATTTTTCGCTAACTGTGACCGTTTTCCCGAGGTAAATCAATTAAACGGGAGAGACAATTTCCACTGCCTTGATTTTGTCCCTACTAGTGTGACGTCACGAAAGCGATGCTCCGGCCCGGTAAGATAGAGTAGGCCCTGAACAGAGGCTATAACATTTTCAAATCCGCCACGTTTTGAAATCACACTGTACATAAATTCAAAAAAATCTAACAACAGATTGCCGAGATATTCACCTGTTTCCATACATATCAGCGACCCTGTATATATTTCCGATTGATTTGGGTGCTTTTTCGTCATCAAGTAAAAATAAGGTGAAAGAATGGATATTTCAACTCGAAAAAATTACAGTATGTTTGGGACATGAAGAGGTAAGATTTCACCAAATTTCGTGAATAGTAGTTATTTATTATACCAAGGGCCGGCGTACCTCAGTGCTTCGATGCTTCAATATCGATTCACGTCGAGGTATCGACCGTGGGGTCGAGACCCACGAACGCAGACTTTTTCTGATGGCCTAAGAAAGTGTTTGGGAAGACTTCTGAGGGTTGCTCGTAAGGGGGCAACCGAATGACGGATAGAACAATTTTAGAACCATTTTTTTTTTTTTAGGGAAAAAGTAGTAGATATCAGCTTCGGGTTGTGTTGTCTCCTGACGCGTAACGGGTTAAGACAAAAAATCGTGAGCTAATATCTAACACACTATCATTTTCTATGACAGGAAAAAGGACGAATTAAAATTGAGGAGATATTTTATATTAAACTCAGAAAATCATGGAAGTGAAATTTGAAGTTTTTAACAGGAATCACACCTGCGTTGCAGGCATCTCTTTGCAGGCATCTTTTTGCAGGCATCTTTATCATTCTTTTGAAGTAATCAAATATTTGTCAGTCTAATTCTGTAACTCGATTTCGAAAAATTGGGAGCTTGGTGGTTGTTTAGTAATTTACCTAACAGCGAAGTCTTGCAGTTCTTTCTCGGACACGGTGTTATTGGCTCATTGTTCGAAACTAGCACAACAAAAGCCATCAACATTGTATATGTATACAGGGTGATTCAAAAGTGAGCGGCATCCTTTCAGGGGCGTATTCCTTGCATGAAAATAAGGCAAAAAGTTCCTATTGATAAGGGTTCCAAAATACTTCCTACGCCCCTTTGAATAGGACACCACCAAAAAGATTTTTTCTCTATAACTTTAAAACCCACAATACATTTTCGAAAATTGGTGTACTGCATAAAAATGTTATATTAAATAAGACTCTGAATTCGAAATTTCAAAATCTTATTCAGGGGCGTCACATGCGGGGGAGGGTAAGTGTAAAAACATCCTTTTCTCTTTTGATATTCAGGTTATTGTGATTTACGCAAATCAGGTTTCAGAATCGATTTTCTCCTAAATGGTACGCTCTATCGAAATGAACTAAGAGTACATTTTTTACGTGAAGAATTCTAGAATTCTATATTTTCAAACGAAATCAAAATGACCTGAATATCAAAAGAAGAAGGCATGTTTTTACACTTTCTCTCCCTCGCATGTGACGCCCCTGAATAAAATTTTGAAATTTTGAATTCAGAGTCTTATTTACCATCAAATGTTCATGCCGTACACCAATTTTCGAAAATTTATTGTGATGCATTTTAAAGTTATAGAGAAAAAAATCGTCTTCGAGGTGTACTATTCAAAGGGCCGTAGCTCCCTTGAAGCATTTTCGGACCCTTGTGATCAGGAACTTATTGCCTTATTGTCATGCAAGAAATACGCCCCTGAAAGGATGCCGCTTACTTTTGAATCACCCTGTATATATTCGGGAAAAAAGTGCTCACTTAATTTATGAAAAGTGATATTTTATAACCTGTTAACAGAAATGAGATTTCAAACTCTTTTTCCGTCATAGAAAATTTATTTTGTATGTAAAAGATGGAAACAAAAAGAAACAAAAACTTGGATATTTGGATTTTTCACGAAAATTTCGAGGTTATGTGAAAAAAGTGTGAAGACATGAGTTATTGACCTTGTCATTATCTACAACAGTAGTGTACCTAGGCCGGTACCAGCCCAAGATGGCCGCCGCCGGAAGTGACGTCACAACCGTTCCTGTGGTGGAAGGTGTTGGCTGCACGGGTGACAAGATGGCCGCCGGAAGTGACAGATGACAAGTGACAGATGACAAGTGACAGATGACAAGTGGCAGATGACAAGTGACAGATGACAAGTGACATGGAACACAAGGAGTGACAGATGGCATGGAACACAAAGAGTGACAAGTGACAGATGACAAGGAAAACTAAGAGTGACAAGTGACAGATGACAAGTGACAGACAGATGACAAGTGACAGATGACAAGTGACAGATGACAAGTGACAGATGACAAGTGACAGATAAGTGACATATGACAAGTGACAGATGGCATGGAACACAAAGAGTGACAGATGGCATGGAACACAAAGAGTGACAGGTGACAGACGACGAGCGACAAATGACAGACAAGTGACAGATGACATAGAACACAAGAAATGACACGTGGAAGTACTCTGAACTTAGCCCCCTAGACTCTGGACTCTAGTGCTTATGGGCGTGGACATTCTTCTTCTTCTTTTTGAAAGGTGGTGGATGACGTCACAATCTATTGACTGTGCTCACCTGATTTAGGTTGGTATTACTACAATTGGTAGCACTTTGTTTCAAGGTCACCCGATATGCATGTTGCAGGTGGCCGATGAGTCATCCTTATCTCTACTTCATAGAACAATGCCTCCTTTGTTTGCCATTTATGTTATCTAGCCTTCCTCTAGAACAATGCCGCCTTTGTTCTCTCGACGCCACTGTCAGCGTTTCTTGGAATTCCGGCTATTGGATAATTCGCGACGCAATATACGAGAACAATGCCGCCTTTGTTTGCAGGTGTCCGATTACGTAACAACCTCATCCGATTGCATCATCCTTATCTGTGTGAGAACAATGGGTCCATTGTTCTAACGCAGGTGGCCGATGAGTCATCTAATAATGCTAGCTGGGAAACATACTGAAAGAGTACCTCTATCTACTTCCTGTCGCCACTGACTGTCAGCGTTTCTTGGAATTTCGTCGAGTCAGCTATTGGGAAATTTGCCTCAAGAACAATACCTCCGTTGTTTGCAGGTGGTCGATGACGTCACAACCTCAAGCCCTATATAAGGCGGTCAGAACGTTCGTAGGCGTCATTCCATTCTGAACTTTGACACTGGTCGGTCGATCTGTTCTTTCCTGTTCGGTTGCTCCTGTCCGTTCGGTTGCTCCTATCTGTTTTATTATATTGTGTGTGGGTTGTGCCAGCTGAAAGGTGAGTTATTTATTTATTACGTTTCAAGGCCATGTGGTCGACCCTATTTGTGACTAGTGATCATTTCACCCAATACTAGCAGTAGTAAGTTTCTCATCAGATGGATGTTTCAGCTATTAACGCTCAAGCTGCTGCCTTCGAACCAACTGTAGCACTAAGTAGCTTGCCCATCAACCAGCCCCACCCCATTGAAAATATCAGGGTGGTCCAGACACGGTTTGGGGAGGCTATTGTGGTGGAACTCGAGGCATCTAGCGTTTTTCTGCCAAGGAGGGTAGTTGGCATCTTCAAGCCTCAGCTTCCGGCTTTCACCCCAGGCAAATACAGCCTGATTCACAAGAGGAGTGACACCGGACCCTCTTTGAGATTACTGAAAATTAGTGGTGAGTAAAATATTATTTTCTGTTTGATATTTCTCGCATCATGAATGTCAATAGTATTGCTTCTACTAGTGATGCCGTTGTTGAGGAATGTAGAAGAAAAGTGGAAATTTTGAGGACCAAGACGAACATATCTGCAGAAGAGAGACTGTTATGGAATAGGCAAATAGGGACGCATATAAGAGAATTAAATAGGGCAATCAGGGGGACCAATTCGACAGCAGGGGTTTTGAGAAAATTAGAAACAAATGTGGGGCATTTGAAACGTTTTCAAAGTTTGATTAGGAAGAAGAATCATATAGGGGCGGGACTTGGCAATCGTAAAAATAGAGTTACATGGAGACTTGTTCAATCTGTTTTTGAGAGTAGAGTAAGGACGGCTGTTATAATCAATTTAAGTCATAAGGAGTTGATGCAATTTTTGCAGGACGCATCGCACATTTTCAAACAAATTAAAAAAATATTGAGGGAATTAACAATGCTCAAAGTCAACACCACCTTCTGTGGTGAGTTTATCAAGAAATCGGATGACGCGGAGATTATTGAATTCAAATATTTCAATACAAAGAATGCTACAATGGATGAGGGAACGGATTTAGATCATTGGTTTGCGGAAAATGTGATTGATGCCATAGTGAATAAACTTTCGGAATTCCAGGAGAAGAGTAGTGGCTGGGCCTTGCGAGAAATTGTTTCTTTAGAGGTTAATGTTAATAAATTAGAAATTGGCAATGGTTCATCATTCATTGGATTACCTGACCAAATTTCCAAGAAGCAAGCCTGCATCAATGTGAAAAACACTGATGAGGCATGCTTCTTCTGGAGTATCGTGAGCGCTTTACATCCTGCTAACCGTAAGGTAGACAGGCCCAGCTCGTATCCTCATTACAGCCAAGTTTTGAATACCGCAGGCTTGGATGTACCCATGACTCTCAACAATATCCCTAAATTCGAAAAACTCAATGATATTTCGGTGAACGTTTATGCCTTGGAACTGATTCATGTTAGAAAGACAGAGTATTTCGAAGTAGTACCCATAAAACTCACTAAACATAAGCAGCCCAGACATGTCAATCTACTGCTCATTCAAAGTGAATATTTCCCCAAGCCCAACGATCATGATGTCTTGCCCGAAGATGATTACGACGAAGACCTCAGGTATCATTATTGTTGGATCAAAGACATGTCCAGGCTTCTATCTTCACAACTCAATAAACATGATCATAAAAAACATTTCTGTGATAGGTGTCTGAATTATTTTTCCAGCGAATTCAAATTGGCAGAGCACAGTGTTCTATGTGAAAATGTTAACGAGTGCAAAATTTCTTTTCCCAAATACGATTCAGTTGTTTTCAAAAATCATATATATAAACAAAAGGCCGAATTCATCATCTACGGTGATTTTGAATCGGTTTTGGAGCACTGTGATGACAAAATTTCTCAAAAAATGTCGAAATATCAAAAACATACAGCCTTCAGCGCAGGGTACTATTTCAAATGCTCATATGATGATAGCTTGTCCTATTACAAGAGTCATCGAGGTCCTGATTGCATGGATTGGTTTGCCACAGAAATGGCAGATGTCGCGAAATTTGTACAGTCTAAAATCAAAGACATTATTCCTCTGACTCATTTCCCAGATAAGGTTGGTGTAACACACTGCCATATCTGTGAAAAGGCGTTTGCGGGCACTGATATCATTGTTAAAGACCACCATCATTTCACTGGTGCCTTCAGGGGGTGGGCGCATCAATCTTGTAATTTGGGGTACCGCAAGTCCTTCGTAGTGCCCATAGTGTTCCACAATTTTTCCGGATATGATTCTCATTTCCTTCTGAGAGAGATTGCCAAACGTGGACAGGTGAGCGTACTTCCGATAAATATGGGGAAATACATTTCTTTCACCCAACACAACTCTGAAACCGGTATTAAATTCAGATTCATCGACTCTTTGAGATTCCTGGGTGCCAGTTTGGACGAGTTGGCATCCAATTTAACGGAGGGTAGCTTCCAAAATTTAAGAAAAGAATTCAACCAATTAGACGCTTCTAAATTCGATCTACTCACAAAGAAAGGTGTTTTTCCATATGACCACATCAATAGTCCGAGCAAATTAGACGAAACTGAACTTCCGCCCATTGAGAACTTTTATAATAAATTGAACGATGAACATATCGATGATGTGAAGTACGCTCATGCTCAAAACGTATGGCAACAATTTGGATGTCAAAATTTAGGTGAATACTCGGATTTATACATGAAAACAGATATCCTTCTTCTGGCAGATGTTTTCGAACAATTCAGAGAAGCTGCTTTGAGGACTTATACCTTAGATCCGGCTTGGTATTACACCCTTCCAGGTTATACGTGGGATTGTATGCTGAAGTACACGAAATGTTCACTACAAATTTTAAAAGATGTTGACATGCTGATGTTTGTCGAAAAGGCAATAAGAGGTGGTATTTCGGTTTGTTGTAACCGCTATTCTGAAGCCAACCATAAGTACACTTCAACATACGATCCTACGAAACCACCAAAGCATCTTCTCTACTTGGACGTTAACAATCTATATGGATGGGCAATGTCAAAGCCCCTCCCTTATGGAGGGTTTGAATGGACTGATGCCAACATTGACGTCACATTGATTCCCGACGATGCGCCAGAAGGATATATCTTACAAGTAGATTTGGAATATCCAGAAAACTTGCACGATCTACATAAAGACTTTCCGTTTTGTGCCGAACACCGCAAGCCACCTGGTTCCAAGTTGGCAAAATTGATGACCACGTTACACCATAAAAAGGAATACATCATCCATTATGTTAATTTGAAACAAGCTCTGGCTAATGGCTTGAAGCTCACCAAAATTCACAGGGTAGCGAAATTCAAACAGTCCACGTGGTTGAAGCCCTACATTGATCTGAATACTGGATTGACGGCTGCAGCCACCAACACATTCGAAAAAAACCTATATAAACTTATGAATAATGCCGTGTTTGGAAAGACGATGGAAAACATTCGTAAACATCGCGTCGTCAAATTATGTAGATCATGGAATGGACGCTATGGGGCTAAAAATATGATCGCCAGTTCAAAGTTTCGTGGCCGGACGATTTTGGGTGACGATCTGATTGCTATCGAATTGGCTAAATCTGAAATAATCTTCAACAAACCCCTATACATAGGGATGGCTATTTTGGATTTATCGAAAACGTGTATGTATGATTTCCATTACGATTTCATGCTTCCAACAATGGGGGTGGAGAAATGTAAGTTGATGTATACAGACACCGATAGTTTTATTTACGAACTTGGCTGTGATGATGTATATGCGGAACTTATCAAAAATAACTTGTCCAAATTCGACACATCCGACTACCCTTCTGACAACCCGTATGGAATTCCGCAAGTGAATAAAAAGGTCTTGGGAATGATGAAAGATGAGGCAAATTCGAAAATAATAACACACTTTGTAGGCTTACGTTCAAAAATGTATGCCTACAAAGTGCAGGGGGGTAAAGTCACCAAAAAATCCAAAGGGGTTAAATTTAATGTGGTTAGGAATAAGATATCCTTCAATGATTATGTGGCTTGCTTGAAAGACTTCAAGGAGCAGACAGTCACACAGCGGACAATCCGTTCCTTCAACCATCAAGTATTCAGTATTGAACAGTCGAAAATTGCGCTAAGTCCTTATGACACCAAGAGACACCTACTTCCAAATTGTTATGACACCCTGCCTTTCGGACATTCCTCCATAGCTGACATATGATTCTTCTTCCATATACATTCCTCAACAATATCACCTTCATGTTCTGAGAAATATCAACTGATAATATTTTACCCCCACCACTGATTTTTTCAATCTAGTTGTATATACGCTTACTATTTTTTACTCTATACACTCTATTTATTATATAATGTAGATTCTTTATTTTAGTTTTTTTTATACACTATGTATTTTCCACTATGTTCAATAAAAGTTTCTTAAAAATTTGATTGTTTCATTACTGCGAATGAATGAACCTGCTACAAAACGTCAAAAACGTCAAAAACGTCGAAAACGTCGAAAACGTCGAAAAAACGTCAAAAAACGTCGAAAAGCGTCGAAAACGTCGAAAAAACATCGAAAAACGTCGAAAAACGTCAAAAAACGTCAAAAACGTCGAAAACGTCGAAAAAACGTCAAAAAACGTCAAAAAACGTCGAAAAGCGTCGAAAACGTCAAAAACGTCGAAAAACGTCAAAAACGTCGAAAAGCGTCGAAAAGCGTCGAAAAACGTCGAAAAACGTCAAAAAACGTCAAAAAACGTCGAAAACGTCACGTTTATAACGAATCAACGTTCAGAATGAACCCGCTACAAAACGTCAAAAACGTCACGTTTTCCACGTTTCCAACGAAAGTCAACGATACCTGACTAGGAGTAAAGAAAAGCTGAGCTATTTCCATATTTTATTGTTCCAAATCATTCAGTACATTGTTTTTAAAGTAATACAAATATTCTCCAAGTGCCATGCTCAACAAACTATTATCAGATATTTCACAAAGAAAAAATCGTGAAACAGCATGGAAAAACGTGACGATCTCGTGACGCAACCATCACACTTAGTGCGTCGTACGCGTTATGCGTTATACATTCGTTAAACAGACGTCGAATATTATTTTTCGAAAACATCAAACGTGAGTTGCAAGCATCGAAAATACGTCAATTGCGTCAAACTTATCTCGAACAGGCCAATATACATTCAAAACCCACAACAAACTGATAAATGACGTCACAAAACGAAATCATACGATGAAGAAAAATTTGAAAGGCGATAGGAGCAGAATAAATAGGGTGTGTGAGAGAACGATTCATGATGAGTGGCGGATATATGACAAATGCTTACATCCTACCGACACTGACTTGCCTAATAGCTCAATATAGGATAGGTCGAAGAATTGATCGATGAGATTGGTGAGGATTGATATTATACCGCTCTCTGGACACATCCAAGTTACGGAAGGTTA